CCCCCCCCCCTCCCACCCTCCTCGAGTGCCCTGCGTGTTTAACGCAGACGCACGACCTTTGTCGGCATACATACATATGCCGAAATAAAATGAGGGTAAATGGAGAATAACTTCGATCTGTGGTTAAGCTTAAAATCTAAGCTTAAAAATTCTATTTTTAAAAATAGAAAAGTATTTAAATACAGATTCGATGTCTTGTTCATTCTCAGTCCCTTAGAGACAGCGTTAAAGGTACTTCACAGATTTTTGATCACCTACATTTAATGAATACGTTCTGTTAAAGTCCCAAAGCCCTTCCCCCATTTTAGGACGAAGTTTACTTTTTCATATCCAACTAGTACGGCATGGAAAACGTAAACATCGAGACACTCCCGCCGTTACACAGAATGCTGGCGCGGTCAATTGCCGGTTAGCTATGATATTCAATTACAGTTTGTCTCCTAGAGTTATCTATTTCAGTGTCATACATGTTGTTTTGATTGGCACTTCACTGGGGTCTTTCTCTTGGACATGACGTTATTCTATTAACAAAACTTGTTCCTTAGCTATTACCAAATTCTCTATTCTCTGACTTCCTTTCATACGATCATGATCACATTTTGTATTTCCAAATATTTGAGTAATCCGCTATTTTGCCATATGCGCATCCGTTCAAGTTTGTCCCATTCCAAATTTTCAGACTGTTAGCTGTTATCCTCCATTTTGTTGTTTAAAGGTGGGGGTTGGACTTTTAATTACTAATAATTTTGTTTCTAACAATTCTGTACGTGAGCTTTTTGGAAGCACCTAGAATAAATTAAACAAATAATAAGCCTTACGTCAAATCCTACAATACCGACAGCAAGTCTGTGTGTGAGTGCATTTTATTTGTTCTTCTTGTAAACTGTATCAATTTTGCCCCACTCGTACCTACTTTAATTGAAAATTACACATTAAAAGTCCCACAGTTTGAAGAATGAGCTCCGAATCTCGATCCTTCTCCATTCATGAAAAATGGCCTATAGCACAGTTTTGTACTCTAAAAGCCGTTTGAAAACTGTTTTCATCTTAACTACTGCGACCCAAAGAACTTGCATATATATGGTGGTTATTTTACTATCTTAAACCTGGCTATTCTGCTATTTCATAATAAACCTCCCGTTGGTTATTTGACTTATTGGGTGGTAAATATTCACTTATTAAACCGGCCTATCATCAATAGCTTTAAAACAATTTCACAACTTAAATCTACCTCCTCCTTGGTTTGACTATTGCCGATAATTAAACACCAAAAACCGATTTCCGTATCTATGGTTATATAACAATCTTCATGTCTGGCTATTCTGCAATTCCATATCAAACGTTCCATAGTTATTTGACTTAATAGACGGTAAATAAGCAATTAGTCGCTTATCAACTTTAAACAGTTTAATTATACCCTGTAGACTTCAAAGAAAAAGAAGACACTAACTTGTAGCTACTGGGAACATTAATTAGCTCAATGGTGAGCTTCTCTGGGACTTTCGTCCGCACTGTATACTAGCAAATGAAACAAAGGATTTGGTACCGGGAACTTGGTGCTGTCAATCAATATCAAACGATCATCAAAATAGCGTCGAACAGAAGGCCTTGCGCAGCAGGTAACAAAAGAGAGCGAATCTGCGCACCAGAATAATTTGCATGATTTCCTTCGACAAAAAAAGCTTGTTAAAATGTTTTTTTCACAAATTAGCTAACGTCCTCAACATATCCAGCCAAAAGAAACGATGGAAACAATAAAAGACTTATAAGCCTCCTTTTCATCAAATAAATTAAAACTCAAGAACCAAGAATGCTCAGAACATGCAAACGAAAGATTGTGATGCTACCGTTTACGACTAAAACTACAGGTAAACAGTTACTTATAAGATGTTTACAAGCTTAAGAGTGGAAATTAAACCACGAATGTGTAACAAAAGGTTCTAAACAGGTGGTAAAATAATTATTTTAACACAATAGCGTTTTTAAAAGGTCAAAGGAACCCGACTTTTGTATCTATGGCTATTTCAGAAGCTCTTTGGTAGTGCAATTCTGCTATTTCATAACACACGTGGCCTAGGTTATTTGACTTGATGGGTGGTAATAAAAACTTTAACGCTCAATATTTTGGAACAAGTACCTATGGTTATTTCACTTTATTCTAAAACATTAAAACAATGTTATTTTGAAGCGAGCTTGCTATTGGTTGTTTGGTTCTAGCAAAGTAAAGAACCAATCATAAACTGGGAACTGATTGACATACTCATTCTCCGCTCAAGAAGAAAGAAAACATCTAAGCCTGTGTGAGGAGAAAATGATTTTTAATGTAAGCAGTAATAGAAGGGTTTATAAACAACGGACTCTTCAAATGCTAACTTATCAGTTCTCATTGAAAGCCCTACCTACCGTTCAGTTCCAAGTCTAGACAATGATACCGTTGAAACTCGCTGAAGTTATTTGTCTGGTGTATTTAACCATTTTCGTTAGCGCTGGTAAAAAGCCACAAATTTGCCAGACTGTTCTTCAAAAGTTGAACAAGCTGGAATGCCCAAGTCAAGGTACATTCAGAAATGTTTTCTACCTTACCGTAGTATCGAACAGTTTAAGTCTGTCGTTTTCCGTCATTCTTAATCTCTAATACTGAACAGTATCTAACAGTATCGTTTTTTATGATCTCAGTATAGCTTACATAAATTATATCGTGTGCTTTCTATTTGTGTAGCGACGGACAACTGCGACCACCATGGTCCAAGTTCATGCAAAGAGATCTATGACAACGATCAGTAAGTTGTTGAGAAATCATTCAAAAACTACGATCTGAAGCTGGTTGGAAACTGCTTGTAAAATCTTTTCAGCACATCTACTTTGATAGATCAATACTACAGTTGTTTTCCAGTTGACGCCACAATAATGACATCAAACAAATTGCCAAACATCTGTGCACAGGGTATGATCAATTTCAATTGGCATTACAGGTTGCCATTACAATGGTATGATCTGTTAAAAACACCGCTAAATGTAGCTTTGAGAGCTTCTGTCTGTAAATATGGAGAATCAAGCGAAAGAATCGCAAATACGAACATTTTACTTCAACAAAAGACCCTTTTGTCGAACTATTTTCAGAAATATGGAATACCAGTTTTTATTTGATTCATTTGGCTATAATTATAAAAAACTGAAACATGTTTTATTCGCATTGATTTAAAAGCCCAACCGAAAACAAAGCATACATGCTCCAGTTTGGTTATAAGAAGCTTCCTGTCTACTGCTACATGGTTGGCGATGACCTTGGCGAATGTGGTGGCGGAGGATGGACGCTGGTCATGAAAATTGACGGCGCTAAGGTACAATGTAACCGTTTACTTTGCGAATAGATCTCAACATAGTCCAAATTTTACAGTTACGCAGTTAACTAAAATCAATATTTGACCTAGAAATTTTCTAACTGTGTTTAAAGAAGATTTAGAGTGGAGTCGTCAATGGTAGGGTTGTTTATTCTCTAAGCGAAGACGTTAATACATTCCGTCTTTGTTTTCTTCGACGTTACAGCCAGTTTAATTCAACTCCATAGACACATCATGCATTTAGCAAGTTGGCAGAAACATGGCCATCCAACTGAGAGTTTAAGAAAATGGAGATCAATTTCCGTGATCTTTACAATTAAATTAATTAGCTAGCCTTTTTGGTTTCAATTTCAATTCAAACCTGAAATATCCACCTCCGTAACGGTGTAATTAGGGAAAACAAGTTGAATTTAAAGTACCTGTAATAACAAAGAGAAGGTAACATGACAACAGAATGTTCCAAACAATTTAAGGTTGCCGGATTGTTCAGATTGACTCAGAGAGACCCTTTTTACATGCATGAGCAATGTGTATGCGATGAACGCCTATTTAAGAGCCAGTTCCTGTAAATACCGAGAATGAGATGACAGTCGCGAAATTTTCGATTTCTTCATATTTCGGGTTTGGTACTGGAGGATATCCAGACGACACCAACACGTGTGGGAACGTGGCTCAGCACGGAGGAGAAAGTGGAGACGAATTCATCAAGGCCATTGGATACATCTTCGTTCAGTGAACAAAACTGAGCTGTTAACGTCAGAAAATTAGAGAGGCAAGATTTAATATGTAATGATTTCCAAAAAAAATATTACTATCGGCAATAGGAATTAAAATAGGGGTTACTGCGTTGCTGTTAAACATAAAATAAAATGCGTTAAAAGAATCCAATATCACGTTTCCTTTGATCTTGTGCATCAAACCAACCCTTTGTACAGACAGCGCTCGTATCCGAGTTTAAAATAACGTTATTAAGGAATGGACTGTGGTAAAATTAACTAAAGTGGGCTTTTGAAACAACATTCCAAAAATATTTATCGATGTATGCTATAAATCTATGTTTTCTTACTCCACATACATTCAAGTTAAATATTGATCTAACAGTGCTTAAGTATTGGCTTGGATTATTGATGACACTCTTCAAGAAAGTTATGAAAAACGCTACGTATGTTCCTTGCTCTGCATCTACTATCAGTCACTCGTAATAAATGTTTGAATTCTCTTTATAGAAAACTAAATTTGGAGATATTTGGTGGACGATCATTTGCCTAAGTTTACGTTCCATTTAGGTCGCACTGCGTAAATCCAAAATTAATTGCGTGAAGTAAACCCCGCAAAAATTACATTGAAAAACGAGTTCAAAATGGCGACAAATGAGCAAGATTGAAAGCGTAAATAATATATTTCCCAGTTTGAGGTATGATAATTTTTAAACTGGATAATTTTTCCTCTAAGTGTTTCGTTTTCAAGATGCCAAGGATGCTTTGAGACGTTCTATAAAAATTCTGATTCTATAAAAAGACAAATCTTTTGCTCACTAATAGCTTAGCAACCAGGACAAGAGGAGACACATTTTCTTCCCATTTCTTAGTTGTCCGTATCAACTAAATTCTGCAATTTTTTCGTTTTTTAATGCATCCAGAGATCTTTTTCTTAATTGGCATTCCCGTCGCACTTTTTCTTTTTCTTTAAATAAAAAGTGCAAGCCACAATCCAGAATTGAACCCAGATATGGAAAGTTAACTTCTTTCATTCGCCATTATTGCTGGTTGTCAGTGTCACGCAATTCAAAATAGATCAAAATAAAAATCAAAACCGGTCAATATTTAAAGTCCAGAATCTGGGAAATGAAAGAAGGTAAATACTCTCGCCAAAATTCTGGTCACAGCAATTTTTCTTATGCGAGATATGCGGAGACATTTTTTACCCAAATTTATAGAGATTTGTATGGAGAGGCCATGCTGGTGCCCATCCGTATGGGCACCAACAGCAGCAGGAACCGGAAACCAGCAGAAACATCTGTCTCTGAGTTTTGCTACAAAAGCGTGAATTATCCGTCGAGGAACTCTAAAACATTAAAATAATACTTTTTCTAAGTCACTGTTCAGATAGCCAAGTTCCCCGAAATAAGTCACTTTTTTAACCATCATGGCAGCTCTCAGGCCGTCATGTAAATGCCGCGTCATGCAAAAGCTTAAAAATTCAAGCCCAGTGTATCAGAAAACCAAGAACCCATTCGGAGCGAAAATTTGTATGAATATTAGTTTTCAGCTGGTCTTACACATCATTTAGGTAAAGTCTCAGGAAGATCAATAGTTTTGTAGTTCGAATTTTGGTGACGTCATATGAAAACCAGCTATATGATTACGTTGATCCGCCAATGTAAAGTGATTTTATTTTAAAGACTTCTATAAAGTCTTATGCGCAGCTCAATAATATATGTAACGGAAGAACCACCATATAATTTGACAGTTATAGTTGCAAACGTGATCGTGCACCTTTAAACATCAGAAATGTGAACTCTTAACTGCTAGTTGCGTGACAATAATACTATGTTTTTTCTAGAATTTTTATTAATACCAAAATACACAAAACAAAATTTTTATGTCTATATTTTTGGTTAGCAACCCTAAAAGAGACCTCGACGGCTAGAAATTCTGGTTTTTTGCCCGGAACACCCCAAGTGGACACCAAAACTCCGAAATTTAATTTACACCGCTAAGGGAGATGATGAGCTTCCGTATCTCTTTCATATGGGAGTTCTCCCCACCCTGAGCTCTATTTATGAGGTAACGCTAAGGATAAATAAATGCAATTTGTTATTAAAACTCCATTGTCTCACTGGAAAATACATTACTCGTAAATTTCAGACGAATTTACAACCGGGACCGTAGTGGCGTATTTTCCATATCCTCACTAGTTAGGATATCGATGACGTCATTTCGCACCATTACATTGCACGGCTGCCACTTTGGCAGACGCCGGTTGAAAGATGACAAGCGACAGGGAAGTTAAATTCAGTGAAGTTGACATAAAATCGTTCACTAAGTAGCACGAAAATGCAAAAAAAAAAAGCCAAAATGAAGAAATACACTTCATCTATTCAAGTAGTTTCTTCAAATTAAGCCAAAGGAGAGATATTTAAGATATTCCAGCAGCCGAGCTGCGATCACATACGGTTTTCGCGTTCATTTGCTTCTGTAGTTTTTGTCTATATAATGAGAAGAACATTACACGTTGGCTCAAAGACATGAATTTTTTTTTGTTCCCCTGGCAAACACAACATCTCTCGAGTGAGCGCAGCGATCGAGTTTTTGAGTTTTTGCCACTCGGACATAAAATCCATGTCTTATCATCACCGTCTAATATACTCTACTTATCTACTTTACAGGTACGCCACTGATGACAAATACGATTCAATAGATAAAAACAATAAAAAAATATAGAGAGTAGGAACGTTCAAGTTCAATTTTGTGTGATTTTTATCATTGCCCGCCAGTCTGAGCTGCCCGAAATAAGTTATTGTTCTCCCTAAGCTCTGTGACTTGCTAAGAAAGACACCCTTGGATAATAACCTCGCTGATTTGTGAATAAAATATAACCTTTTGAATAAATTGAAAACATTGAAATCAGTCCATCATAATAAAACACTGAGAAACGAAACTCTTAATCACAAACAACAAGTATGAATAAAAGACACTTGATAAGAAAGGAGGAGCAAAATCTCTAAAACTAAAAGCACCAGGATACAGTGGCCACAAACGTGAAATAATTGTGTAAGTTTTAATCTGTTAATGCTTCAATGTATATAAACGCATAGTTCTGTATTGAAACGCCGGTAATACATGACGGAGGGGCGTGTTCGTGTTCGAGTTCGACCTTTTGTAAAACTATGTAATTGCGTCTCAGAGCACAAAATGATTTTAAAAATCTGGGAAAAATCCAATGTTGAAGGTGAAACTAGCGTGTATACCATTTAGTAAACGGAGTACCCTAAGGTTCGAAAGCTGATTGCGATGGTATCCTAACAAAGAAAGTAAAAGAATAGCAAAAAACAGAGAACTTTGACCAAAGATAGGAGATGGGTTGCAAATAAGCAGAGTGATGTAAAGGATTCGTTATTATATCTTCAAGCTACAGAGTTACCTCAAAGATGAAAGAGACGTCCTTAAAAATCGAGCTGCATTTAGACGAAACTGCTCACGTGACCAACAGAGCAATAGTTTCATTTTCTGATGCCTCTCAACGGAAGCTAATACCGCCTGTTATTGCTTTCCCTTCTGTTAGTCAATTGACGCCATTCAGTTTGAGTTCACGAAAGTTTACAGGCACGTATGGCTGTATGAGCTTCCATTTATTAATTAATAATTATCTCCTGCAGTGGAGGTGGCTGGTAGTGAATATTTACCGAGTGGGGAGCGGCGAGGTAACTATCCACCACCAGCCACCGACACCGAGGGGAATATAATATAATATA